GCTAGTTCTTGGTGAACATTTCTCTGTCCTCACTAGGCATGACCTCCTGCAGTATTTGACACCAAGCCTAGACCTTGTCCTCCTTCCCCAACTTGATGTCACGATTCCCTGTTCTGGTTGCTTATCTCCCTGGCCTTTTCTTCTATTTGCTTTTCTCCTCATGTTCTAGCCTTTGAACATCTGCAGTGCCAGAGCAGAATATACTTAGGCCTGTTAATTTTTGAATCTACTCAGTGTTTTACAAGCTCACATAACAGCATGATTTTATGCACTAGGTACACATTGGGAAGTTCTTGCTTTATATTTTTAACCTACACATCTCCCACAAACTCTAGACTCAAAAGCTAAAAAAAAGGTTCACCTCAACCATGGATGAGGTTAATGTCTCCAACACTTCTCACTTGATCTTCCTCCCAAAACCTGTTCCATCCATGGCTTTTCCCTTATCAATAATGACCTCATTTTCTAGTTACTTAGGACAAAAAAAGTTTGTTTCTTTCATTTTGTGTGCATGAATGCATGTTAGTACATACGACTATGGTGTGCATGTACAGGTCAGAGGTCAACTTTGGGTGTCAGTCCTTACCTTCACCCTTTCTGAGACAGTCTCCTCTTGTTGGCCACAATGCACAAGAAGCTAGTTGGCCTATGGACTTTCAGGGATTCACCTGTATCCCTTGCCACTTTTCTGCAGGGGTGTCCAGATTTTAACTATCACACCAGATTTATATGGGGTCTGGAGAGCTGAGCTCGGGTCCTCACACCTATGCACCCAGAGTCTTCCCCATTGACTCACTTCTCCAGTCCCTGAAGTCATGCTTGCCCCATCTCTCTATATGGAGTGATGTATCCACTGGTCCTTCTTTCAGGTCTTTCCCGAAGCCTCCTGTGTCTCATCACCCTTTTGCCAACCTGTATTATTTGCAGCTGCAGTCTAAGTGGCTTCTTTGTTTGATTCTTGCCCCGAATAAAATCTAGAGTGATCTTATTACTACTTAAAACAAATTACATTTTCTCTTATACAGGAAATACTTCAGTAATTTCTCATGTTATTCATATTAAAAAACAAATTCCTTACGCTCACCCGCAGTGCCTCTGAGCTCACTCAGTCATTGCTAACTGCTTTGGTTCCTAGTCCCCTGCCCTGCCCTTTGTGTCCTGGGCTCCGTCTGACTCAGGGCCCTTGCACTTGGAGTTGCCCATGGCTTCCTAATCTTCTGCAGGTATTTGCTCAAAGACTAGGAAGTTTTCAAGAACTTATGTGGTTTTTTTTATTACAAACCTCCCACTACCTTCATCCCCCTCCTCTTTTCCCTATTTTATCTTTCTTATTGACAGTCATGCCATCTAAAACATCACTTTTAAAAAGTACATTTTTCACGCTCAGACAGAAGCTGTACAGACGTAAAGAGAGATTCTTGTGTGTTTTGTGCAATTCTGTAGCCTTAGACATGATGGATGAGTTAGATATTTATCAGTAAAGGAGCTTGTCCAGCTTGTCAGGGCCAGCCAGCCACAGGTTCTGCAGAGGAACTGCAGCTGAGACGGCCTTTCCTGGCTCACCAGCATCTCTGAAACGGAAATTAGTCTTTAGGACACTGCAGTTAAGTTTTAGGTTCTCTAGTGGGTAAATATTTTTAAAGCACTTAGAACAGTGCCTGGCACATGGTAAGAGCTCTGTAAGTGTTTATTTTAAAAAGCAACAAATACTTCATCAAGCATTTTGTGATAAGTAACATTAGCAGAATGGGAACCAAAACCAATAAACCTCAAGAGGTTCAAAGTGGCCTAATTCAGTAATGGAGAGCTGCTGTATTCGTCCCAGAGCTGGGGCAGTCTGACAACTTCCTAAACTGATAGCAGTAGTCACGTGTCCTTGCTGAACTTCCAGAAACAGAATCGGACTGTGGACTTGGTGGGCTCCGAGATGCAGAGATCTGTAGAATAAACTACACGGAATTGTTTTGAACTTGAGTTCAAGAAACATGTGGTTTTGAAAGGATTCCTTCAAAAGTAGGTCGCAGGCGATCACACAGGAAAAGGCTGGGCGCTTATATCTATCTGTTGATTGAACAAACACTTCTCACCAAGTACTTTGTTAGGAGTCAGACCAGCTTTCCAGGATCTCACGAGTATCACTTGAGATGCAGTGCTGGGATGGAGAAGAACCTGGCCCAGGCTGCTTCCTCATCTCATCATGATATCCAAATAAAGAAATCATTTGCTGACCTTAAACTTACTGATTTTTCTCCACTCCCTGAGGAAGTTCTATCAACGGGTAAGAAATAAAAGATTGGTACAAGATGCACAGAACCCTTGGGTTGTTTTGTGGGTTGGTTTGTTCTCAATATAAGATTGTTTTTATTATTTGAGAATTTCATGTGTGTATATAATGTGTTACAATCAAGCCTTCCTTTCATTTCCTCCCCTGCAATGCTTCCTTGCTTTCTCCTTACTACTAATCCCTCCCAATTTCATGTATTCTCTTAGTGCTACCAATATGTGCATGGATTTAGGATTGTCACTAGAGCATGGCTAGCCATTCAAGGACCTCATCCCCAAAGAAAATGGATTTCCCCCTCTCTCAGCCATCAGTTGCCAATAGATTCTCATCTAGGGTTGGGACTCCCTGATACAGCCCCTCTCCATGCTGGGATTCTGTCTGGCTTGATCCTGTGCGGATCTTGTGCGTGCAGGCAAGACACTAGGAGTTCAACTTCCAAGTTATGTCCAGAAAACAATTTTACTATAGCCATCCATCTCTTCTGACCTTTACAGTCTTCCTGCGCTCTTCTTCAAAATGATCCCTGGACCTTGGGAGAGGGGACATGGCATGGATGCCACATTTCGAATTCCTGGGTTTGATCCCCAGCATTACAAGAAGTAAAAAGAAAAGGGCATGGACTGTGACGTACAGTTTTGACTGAATATTAAAATAGCTACAGGGTTTGGTGTGTGTGTGTGTGTGTGGAGTTGTTGTTGTGGTGGTGGTGGTGGTAACTAGAATGAAATCGGAACTTTGGAATGCAACTCAGGCATATGCATTTTTGCATAATAATTCTTTCAAAAAGACAGGAAAAGGAAACAGCAGAACACATAACAGTCAACAAAATTTTAGTGTTTGAGAAAGGACTGGACCAAAAATGGTCTTGGCATACCAAAAATACAAACAGCCTTCAGGAAAAAGAAGGCTGGAGAAGGCCTTTAAAAGCAGTAGTATTTGTCCTGCTGTCCAAGTTGGGGAAGGATTCAGGAACTGTGGGGATTTGAATAAGGAAGTAACATGACTCAGAGCTGATGGGCTGGCTAATCACATGACCAGTCCCACTCCCACCCCTGGGACTCTCTACAGAGAAAAAATGAGAAATTGCACTTGGGTGCAATTAGGATAAAATAAAGATGGTTTGTCTGTCCTCAATGCACAGGTGCTCATCTAAGGGCTTCCAGATCTGGGATTTAAGTGCAATATTAGAGGATACGCTCTGTGCAAATGTCTAGGAAGGAAGTCCAGTGGGAACAGGACTCGGGGGAGACCAGGCTCCTGTTTCATAACCTAATGGGGATGTCTATCCAACCTGCTTCCAGTGAACTGTAGAAGTTCTAAGAAAAAAGACTCCAAATATTAGCAGATGTGTGGCAGGTTTCTAAAAAGAAAGACAAGAACCAAAATACTCACTAGTGTATATAAAACCCTTTAATGGAGAGACACTTAGATAGTGCTTGACAGATCCGTATGTGGCTACATCTTCAGACATTAAATAACCTTAGGAGAACTCATAATGTCCTGTGTGCATGTGAATGCTGTGTATGCTTGCAGAAGAGTTAAGGAGTCCTCTATTCTACTGCTGTTGTTGTTGCTGTTCCTGCTGTTGCTACTGGTGGTGGTGGTGGTGGTGGTGTGTGTGTGTGTTTGTGTGTGTGTTGGGGGCAGGTGTGAATCTCAGCTTCATCATTTTCTAATCTATATGTCCTGAACAGGTTACCAAAACTCTTTGTGCCTCTGTTTCCTCACTTGTAAAATGGAAGTTCATAATGATGCTGTTTTATAGAACAAGAAAGAACCCTTAGAAATTCTATCAATACCAGCAGTTGTCTCAAATCCCATAGAACATCTTAAAGTAAAAGTTGAAGAAACTCTAGGAGAAATCAAAAGACAGAGATATGGAAAATAGAAACCATGAAAAAAGATGACAAAATAGAGAGAGGCAGGCAGATGGAGAAGCAGACAAGAGTAGTGTCTGAGAAACGAGGGGTCTATGGTTGACAGGGAAAGGGCCCTGTGTAGGGCTTGTCATCGGAACCTTTCGGAGCACGGAGAGAGTGACGATCCCAAGCACTCCCAGAGAGCAGAAAGAGGGTCACATCTAAGGGACTAAGACATGAGTGGCAGGAGGATAATCACGTTCTAAGCAATGTGGACTTATTCTGGGAAAGCTACCCTAGTTCCAGGACAGAAAACTGTTTGATTTAGATATATTTGTCACTTCAAAAGATTGTTCTTGTGTGTTCAGCCAAGTAGGGGCTCAACTCTGCTTAGTGGTCTGAACTTCTCACATCTGCCTTTGTCTGAGAGCACCTGTTTCTCTTTTTAAACCAAGGTGAAAGAGTATTCAATTTGCCACCTTCCTTCCCTTCCTCCTCCTCCAGTTCCCTGTCCCATTTGTCTTCCTTTCCCATCCTGTTTCTTCCCTCTCCCCCTTCCTTTACCTTTGAGCCGTCACACTTGCTATGTCTATTTCTGTCTCTCCTTTTCCCTTTTTCTTTCTATCCACAGAAGTCTTGTGTTTGTCTAATAATTGGCAGGAGAGATCTCTTTTTTTTTTCTTGCTTCTTCAGTGATGAATAGTTGGCGTCAGATCAAAGACAAACCCTGTGGTTTTCTGACTGCCCAGAAGGGCGGTGCAGCTGGCAGGCGTCCCAGCTGCCTGGTGATAGGCATGTGGAAGAGATACCAAACTCACGGGTCACTGTGTGTGTGTTCGTGTACGTGTGTTTTGCAGGCCAACAGCAGGCTGAAGCAGATCGAGAAGGAATACACTCAGAAGCTTTCCAAATCTTCCCAGGTAAGCATGGGCCAAAGACACAAAACAAAACAGAATCCGAAACAAAGAGCAGAAATGAGACCAACGCAGCAAAACCTTTGTGCTTCAGAGTTAAATCAAATTCTTGTCAGTTTTTCATGGATTCGTATAATATTTTGATGGATTGATAAATAAATTTAAAATGTTTTTAATATTTCCATCTTACTAAAATCAGGAACAATTGTGCATATTGAGCCATTTGAACCAGCACACACGCCTGCATGTTCGCACACACACATACACACAGAGGAAGATGTTGTAAAACCAGCTGGCACAGTTGAACAAGCCCAGGCCGAAAGACATTTCACAAGGCGGGGTTCACACCCACATCTGTGATGTAAGCAGCCTGATAACATCTGTACTTTTTTTTCTTTTTAATATTCTAACTCATTGCACCCATGAGCTAGCTGACTGATTCAAAACGACAGACCATTCTAGGTTAAATAGGCAGCTCAACTGTTGGCTCCTTCTGGAGGGTGGGAAAGAATCCCTGCACCTGCCACTTGTTCATGGTTAACGCTGCTTATAAGGAAGGCTAACAGTTAAATGCCACCTCTGCTAGGACGGTGCTTGCAGAACCTCTGCTTCATGAGCTGTTCTTTCTCCCGATGGCTTCAGTTAGAGAGTCCCAAACCTCTGGAGTTCTGTAAGTTCTGCTAGAACAACCAAGCATTGTTTACCTTCGTTTTGTAGATGGATAACTAAGCCATTTAATTCTACAGTTTTCATGTCTAATGATTTTAAGTTGGCTTTCATATCATTGTCTGTATACAATGGCATGTAAACTGGAAATCCATGTTCTGTTTCATGAATTGCCTGACAATAGGAGCAACAAAACAGATGGTAATATCCAACATTTCTGCGCACAAGCCTGGTGACTTCATTCAGTTTTCCTCATCGGCTCCATTTTTCCAGTTGAGAAAATGAGAGTTAAGGGCCAGGGATGTAGCTCAGCAGTAGAGGGCAGAAATCTGAGATCAGAGAGATGAGATCATAGGAGTTAGCAAGTGACTAAGCCAGGACTCAGCCTGGAACTGACTTCAAAGTAGCAATCTTGACCTTTGACATACCAGCGTGGCCCAATGCTTTCCCTTCCTAATACAGCAAAACTTTGAATGTAGTTATCAGGAAATGTCAATTCTGTAATTATTTCTAAAATGGGCATGTTATATAATTCTCATGTCATTAAGAAAGCCAGAAGTCTTTGTTTAATTGAATAGTCATATGTGTTTATGAGAGAGATGACCGTGACTTGGGTGCCATTATCCCGGCCCTTCAGGGAGAGATGCCCTTGTTAATCTACTGAACGATGCTTATAACCAGCTGAAAGGAACCTTAACACTCCCAAACTGAAGTTGAAACAGAAACAGGAACAGCCACAGCTCAGCATAGCACTGCCTCTGCTTTGTTTGGAGAGGAGGATACAGACAGGGAGATGGAAACTAGCTAGCAAAAATGTTTAGCTGACAAGACTGGAAACAGGGGTCTTAAGGAATGTGTGAAGAAGCCTGATTAGGTGACATTAAAGCAAATTAAATGGTAGCGTATAAGAAAGTCCAAGCTTGGAGTCCACAGAGTTGGAATTCCAGCCTGTCCTACCATGTGTGTGACCTGGAGCAAGTTTATCAGCCACCTTTGGAACTCAGTTCCTCAGGAGTCAAATAGGAGAACAGTGCTATCATCTTAAGACAGTTTTAAGGAGTAAGTAAAACCAATGTCCAAAGCATGCAGTGCTTCTTATTACTAAAACATTTACTACCTGTTAGCAACCTTAAGTGTCTGAACAATGCACAGGAAAAGGAAGAAGAGAGCCACGGAAAAGGTCTAGAAGAAAGATTAAATCTTTTCACCATACACTGTGCTTTGGGGTGCTCAAGAACTGATGAAATTTCGCCACAAAATTTGGAAATGTACAGCTTACTATTTCTCTCCAAGACATGAAGGAGAAGGACGTGGGAAACCACCAGAAGCTACTGTGCACTGTAATAATTCTGTAGACTAAAGAGCAGTGCTGTGCCAGAAAAATACATAGATGTCAGACGGAAGATAGCCTTATGCTGAGAGTAGTCTCCATACCCATCTCTGATGTGCTGAGTATTTATAGCCATGAACTGGAGTTTGAAAACATCAGTCTACAGTGCCAGTCACTGCTGAGAAACTGATTATTTTTAAATGAACATAAAAAAAAAAAACAACTCGAAACATGGGCTGTTTGTGCTTCCACATGCGAGTTTTCTGGAATTGCTAATGCACATCTTATCAAGCTGATGAGAGGGCCAGAAGCCAAGTTGCTGTGCTGTGTTTATCAGGATTTAAAAATCTTCCTCTTAAGAGCAGGGCTGGTGTGAATAGATGAGGGATGGGTCCATTGACACTCAGGACAGCAGCAACTTAAATTGGGAAAATATTTGGTATCTTTCCTTCCCATGAGGGAAATTAGTTACTTGATCTTTAAGATCATATCAAGCTTTGGACCTAGTAGACCATGTGCACTCAAACCCAGGCACACTCAGAGCCTGTGCCCCTTTTGAGGCTACACAGCCTTCCCCACAACAGCCAGCGGGGCATCAGCTCCAGGCGTGCTCTTTCTCTCAGTCACAAAGGCATTCTTTTTGTCTGAATATTACATATTCACCTGGCCTTCTCAGTTTTAGCATAGTTTCTAAACTCAGGTCACTTCCCTACTTTTCATTTTCCAAAACAGAGCAGTATGAGTTTGCAGAGATCTTCCTAGCTGCAGAGGACCAGCTGCCAGATGGACCCGCCCTCTGCCAAGCAGCCCTTGCCACTACCCTGGCTAGCTTCCCCTTCATGTGCAGACCAATGACTGTGAAGTATGTCACATGCCCCCACTTTGTCCAGGGGCCATGCTGACGGGAGCAAAGGCTCTACCTTCCTGTATTTTGTAAGGAACCCCAGTGCCTTCCTGTCCTTTCTAGGTAGGGTTTTTGTTGGCTATTGAACTTAGAGGAAGAATTTTAGAAAAGTCTCAAACTGTACCCACAATCTGAAAAAACAATAGAAATAAAAGGTGAAAATTTACCTCTATTTTAAATTCTGAAAGACTTTAAATAAGATTCTAATATCTACACAAAGTTTCATTGCTTAACAATCATTAATAACCATTATTGCTTTCATGGCTGCTCATAGCAACCTCCCAAAATAGCCCCTGTTGTTTGTCAGAGTGTTAATTTTTCATATCTACATGAAAATGTCCTAATCTGCTCCTCACCATGAAATAAATACATGGTAAACATTTAATGACATTTTATTTCATATTCTTGAATTATGATTCTCTCCAAACTGGAGCTTACCAATTATGATTGTATATAAGATTCTTTTTTTTTTCAAAAACTTTTTACTATTACTCATGGAAAGGCTAGACTATGTTGTCTTATTTTTCCCAGTGGTGATTATTTCTTATCATGACCATGATACTGCACTACTTAATTTCCCATTATAACTCATTACTTAAATACTGGCTGAATGCTGGTGATATATACACTGAGCTAAGGCAGAAGCTTTGTCTTCTTGTACTCCAAAGTCTACAATGCATAGACGTAAAGACCCATGCTGTGTTCCTAATCCAAACCGTGTTTTCTAGCCTGGTATTCTGATGACTTTCTAATCTGGAATATTTGGAATATTAAATCTTTTTTTAGGTGACACAGTGCCATTCTGCCTCCTAATCAACGTACTCGTCTAGCCACGGTGCTTCACCCCAGTTTTTGGACATTCCCTGATGTCACCTTTATAAATCTAAAAAGTAGTTTTCCAAATATAATCTCATTTTCCCCATAGAAGTCTCATTATCTCTCGCCTTAAAGACAATAAAAGCAAGTGTACCTTCCTTGAACATCATTTATAGTTCCAAAACCTACACTTGTTTCTTTTTGTACGCCTGTCCAGAATCTTCTAAACATGAAGAATATCCTGATCTTGAGCACTTAAAACCATTTAAAATACCTCAGAATATTTTTTATCTTAAATCCTAGCTATACTAATCTCAATTCTACTTTTTTTTTTCCTGAGACAAGGTCTCACATAGCCCAAGTTAGTTCCAAACTCACCATGTAGTTGAAGCTGACCTGAACTCCTGATCCCCACTTCTACTCAATACTGATTTGCTCGCTTCTAGTATTTTTAAGAGAAAAACAAATACCTTGTGCTTTCAAAGTAGATTCCATGACTGTGGTAGATCACCAAATCTACACATGTGCTAAAATCGCAGAGGAGTCTTCTTCACTTCTGTGAAGCTCTGGGCTTACTCAGCTTGAGACACTGAACTATTACACTGTGTTTACTGTTTGGCCCATGTTCCTATAAAATATCAATCTTCAATTTCATGGTAGGTTGAGGAAATCTGGTTTTCTTATCCCTAGCCCCTCTGACCTGTGACTAGAAGCTGGTTCTTCTGTGCTTCAGTTTTTGACATTCACTATGAGAATTTAACCTTTACTGCTTGTGGATGAAAGTGCTATGGGAAGTAATTGAACGGATGTAACATTTGTTGCATGAAAGCAACATTTAATCAAAATTCTTAAAATAGATGAACAGTATTCTATTCTCAGTAAGTGAATTCCTCCACTCACAGCAGAGGGTCCATTTAGTATTCTCATACTGCCCTTATGAATTTCTTCATTTCAAAATAATCTTAACATTTGATTAAATTTTAACCTTTGTTACAACGAATTTGCATGCTGAGTGTAAACACTCCATATTTATCACAACAATGCTCTGTTTATGTCCATTGTGACAACTAATATTTCTATAGCACTTGACTTCTATGGCCTCCGTATAGTTTCTATTGCTTTGTCTGTTGATGCTGTGCCCTGTTTGTGGGAAACTGAGATCAATCAAGAACGACCGCTAAGCCCAGTGTTTCTCCCAGACTGCATCCCGCTCCCAGAGCAGAACTGTATTGTAAGCACTGACTCTGTTTCAGCATTGTGGACACTGATACTGTTTCTTTTATTGAACAAACAACCATTTCCTGCTTTCAAAAGCAATCCTCGCTGTTGAGACTGAAAGGCAATGGCTGCATCCAAAGCAAAGGAAGAGCTGCACTCTCAGTGGGCCCATTGCGCTCCTCATCCGATGTTAATTTGAGAAGGTGGTGGGAACCCTGCCCTGGAGGGAACTAAGTCCTGGGTGTGGAGAGAGCTACAGGAGTCCCTATGAAAGGGCAGTGTCTGAGCCAGAATAAACTTTCACGAGTGTGTGCGCTTAGGAAGGAGACGACAGCCTATTTAGAAGGGTGAACTTTAATACCAAAATTTTGTTAAAAACAAAAGTGAAATTGGCTCGTTAGAAGATGAAACTGACTGTGGACTTCAGCAATGTAAAATGCTTGACCTCTTTGTGTCTGTTTCCTCATTGTAAAGAGGGGCCAATAATCATACTTACCTCACAGTAGTGAACAATATAAAAATTTCAAATCTCAACAGAGTACATAACATTAGTGAATACCCCAAACTTACTGTGTGGAATTGATTGTAAAGAGTGAGCATGGCCACGAAGAATAAGGGCGGTGGTGTTGTGCTGGTCCTGGTGCTGGTGGCAGTGTTAGCAGTGGTGGTGATAGTGCTGGTAGTGGTGATGGCTGGTGGTAGTGGGGGTGCTCGTGGTAGGTGGTGCTGCTGCTGGTGGTTAGTAGGTGGTGGGGGGGTTGAGGGGGGTGGTTGGTGGTGGTGGTAGTGGTTGTTGGTAGGTGGTGGTGGGATTGGGGGCGTGGTTGGTGGTGGTGATACAAGTCTCACAAAAGTCAGAGCAGCCTTGCTCACTCTTAAGAAGTTTATTTCTCAGTAAAATAGTCTGGCGCTTTTCATTTTTTGAGCTCACAGATGTTCTTTCTTCTGATGAGTAAATACTGTGGAATGTTAGAGTGAAATGCCTTCCAAATATATTTGGTTGAGCAGTTGTCCACCATTCATAGTTTTATTTTAGTCTTTTATTACGTGGAATTTCATGCATTATCCTGAGTGATATGTTAATTGAAAATGTTCAGTTTGTGAAACAGAGTTTTGCCAAATTCATTCTTTTGTTAAGCATAAATACATATAAAATAGATGCCTCTCGCTGGAGAATTTGAAGTTACAGCATGCTGTTTTCATTTTAGATCATAGCAGAACTTCAGACAACCATTTCCTCTCTGAAAGAGGAGAGCAGTCGGCAGCAGCTCGCTGCAGAAAGGCGGCTCCAGGATGTTGTACAAAAGTTTGAAGATGAGAAGCAGCAGCTGATTAGAGATAATGACCAAGCAATCAAGGTAATCTAAAGACTGCAGTAACCAGTGGTACCAGCTGCTTTAATGTAATTAAAAGGAGGCTGAAATCGCAGCAGTGGGCAGATGAACGCAGGTATCTGGCTTGCTCACACAGCCTGCAGTAATTCCATTCACTGGCCTCTCTGCCTTTGATGTGTCCAGTGACTCAGGCTGACTTCCCTCCAAGAGCTCACATGCCAGCATAAAAAGTCATTTTTGGCAACCCCTCCCCATTCATATTGAACAAATATTTGAAAAATACCTCGTCCTTTCTCTTGAGAATTACTTTGGAATTGTCTCTTGAAATTAGACTGAGTGTTTCAGCCCAGTACTGCTGCCTAGCACATTCAGAAGTCAGCTTCCAATTTACATTCTGGTCTTTGCCCACATCCTTTCATTATGTATTCGCATAATGAGCAATAGCGTTTGTTCCAGGCACGGAATGCCAGCCATCTGATGTGCTTTGACATAGCACAGGGTCGATTGTTGCTGCTGAGAACTTTGGTTGTTTCTAAATGGCTTCAGAGAACTATTCACATCGTAATAGCAACAGAAAACTCCCTGAACCTGATCCTCTAGGTGAGAGGCAGTTAGATCTCAAAGCAGCTCTTTCCCTGGCTTCATAGTAGCAGATGCTATTGTCAGTGTCTGCACCACGCTGTGCTTCATCTGTGAGGAGCAGCATCAGGAAACCTTTATAAATAAAGCTAAAAGTAAAAGAGAACAAAATCGTTTTAAAGAATGCCTAGCAAAAGGTTATTTTTCAGTGACTTTGCTATAACAATACTTAAAGCATGTAGCTTAATCATACAGAGCAAAGAAAAATAAGTGATATATATATATGTACATATATATGTGTATATGTGGAAAAAATAAAAGGCTTTAAGAGATTAAAAACCCTTTGAGACCAGCACAACCAACCTCTTCACTTTACAGGTGAGGATTTGGGATTTGGTTAATCACGTTTGCCTATTTATTTCTATTTGTGAAATTTTGCCTCCATAGGTTATAAGACAAAAACAAAACAACAACAAAACTCTTCTTTTTCATGTTCTGGTCACTTAAAACTATCTTTCAAGCCCTTTTACTTTTCACTTACGGTTGGTGCCACCGGCCTGTTGACTGTTTCTGTTGCGTGAACTGAGCTGTGGAATTTGTTTAAACTGTTTCAGTTACATAAAAGTTTCATTTTAAGTAGATATCTCTTTCACTTATGTCCAAATAACCAAGTGGTCGGTAATTTCCAATTTGCAAATAAAGTGGATTCCATTGTACAAGCAGGGGGAAGACATGAGTTAGGTTACCCCTACCATTGTTTTTAAAGGATTAAAATTACCTTGAAAGAATTGTAATTAGCAAAATTGTCTATTTTAAAATATTTATTCTTATAGTTTTAAACCATTTGTATGATAAAAGGGAAAGGCCCTTAAATCATAACTTCAGACCCACCCCAAATCACAGACAGAACTTAAGTGGTCAGAGTTGATGTATACATAATACATGCATTAACCGTGTGGACTGGGGCTAGATGCTGGCTCAGCAGTAAGAGCACTGACTGCTCCTCCAGAGGACCAGGGATCAGTTCCCAGCACCCACATGGTGGCTCACAGCCATCAGTAACTCCAGTTCCAAGGGATCCGACACCCTCACACAGACATACCTGCAGGCAAAACACCAATGCACATAAAAATAAATATTTTTTAAAAAGTATATAGCCTATTTTTCCTGATAGTAACAAATTAAAGTCATAATACAGCTAAAAAGCCAAGTATAGTGCCACATATCTGTAGTCTCAGCCCTTGGCTGAAGCAGAGGGATCATGAGTTCAAGGTCAGCCTGAACTTTATAGCAAAATCCTGTTGGGGGGATGCTTATTAATTAAAAAATGTAAATGCAGTAATAGTTGAAATAGTTTGAGTTCTGTTATTTAATGCGTAAAGTGAGTAGCTTTTTTTTTCTATTGAAGTTGCTAAAATAATTGATTTATCATTCATTTCCTTGGCTTTGTTCCCTTGCTACCTCTCTCTCTCTCTTTCTCTCTCACTCTCTCTCTCTCTCTCTCTCACACACACACACACACACACACACACAGGAATAATAAGCAATAGTCATTCAATCGGCACTGTGCTCTGAGTTCTCTAACAAATATTTTAATTAATGTTCTATTACAATGCTTAGCCCTAACAAATTTTTTGTCGGCCACATGATCTTTTAGCATCTGTAACTTTTTAGAAATAAATCACATGAAACTACTAAATTAGCAAATGTCTTGACATCTGTACACGAAACCCAAATTACCTCCAGTTCATCTATTCATGTACTAGTCAAGTCTTTAAAAATAAAAAAGGAGAGGTACATCCAAAGATAGCCCTGCATTCTCTTGAAAGGGAAATGGCCCTTTAATTTTCCATTGCCCTCAGCCTCAGCTCCACACCCAGCACTTAACTCTCGTGGTCAGAGACGTTTCCTGGAGAGTTTTCTCTCCCTCACTGTGCTTCTGGCTCTCAGGAAGCCCGCCTGTCCCTCAGGGAGGAGGCAGGCACCTGTGGCACCAGTAGGAGACTGGTGCATTGTGGCGCTCTTCCTTGCCCTCACTTCCTGAGGCGTTTCTCCTGACTCACTGTCTCACTATTCATCACAAGCCCCTGCTTCTGAGTGGGATTTTGGAGCACAGGTTGGAAGAATTCCTTTCAGTTTATCTCATCTGAGTTTGCTGGGTATGTGGAGGGTAAGCACTGGGTCCGGGGTGAACACTGCAGCAGCTCTCCTCCCGTCATCCAACAGCTGAGAGCCCTTGTGGCTGTCCAGCCTTCTTCTCTGTCTTCTCATTTGCCCCCTGCCCCGCCTCAATTTCCCCAGCAGTTTAAGGGGATCATTCTGAGAAAAGGATTTCCCGAGCAGAGTGGTGGGGAGACAAAGCGGAGATTGGACAAACAGTCCAACCCCAAACTGCCTGGCTGCTGATGTGCAAGGTTCAAGCCACAGTCTGTCTTCCTTGAGGGACTAAGCTTTTCGTGTTAGGCCTCCTCCCTTGCTCTCTGCAAGGTATCCTCACAGGGCATCTCTGAAGATGAATGAAATAACCAGATGTCCATTGGAGATCCTTGCTCCACCCTTCATCTGCCTGAATGACGGAACAAATCTAAGAGTTTTACATTCTAATTACGCTGAGGGGTCTACACATCCAGATGCAGATACAGGGACATGTGTAGATAATTAGAGAGAGGCAGCGTCACCATGAAGCTCAATTTTCTGGAACCAAATACATCTGTCCAAAGAAATAGTCAACACTGGTGTATAAACAGTCAGGATGCTAATTGTGAAACCTGCTTCCCCCACTTTCCGATTGATGAGCTGAGCTCTCTCAATCTGAGGCCTGAGATTAGGGATCATTAGTGAACCCAGTGCCTGTGCCCTCTGAGCTAACTGTGGGTTTCTCTGAGTGCTAACGCCATGCTGTAGAGAACACGTGAGGGAGAAACCAACCACAGAATCCTCAGAGGGCATCCATGTGCACACTGTAATGTGGGAAAATACGTTGACTGATAATTTGACAGTGCCCATCCCTATTAAAAATGGCTTAGGAGGCCTGCTTAGCCTTTGACCCAATTCTAGAATTCACCCAACACAACGATTAAAGTATCATACTTTGCTTTAGTCATGAAATGCTTGGCCACAGTATTGAGTTTCTGTTCTGTGCCAGGTACCTGTGACACCAGCATTCTCTGCCTCCTCCCCATCTCTCACCATAGGAAGTGAGCTGAAACCCTATCAGAGAAAGCTGTGTATGCATATTGAAGATGTTCACAACATGCTTTGCTAGGAAAATAAATACAAGAGAAGAATGCAATTGCATATCAGAGTCTGACTTCTACATGTCTCTGAGAAGTGGATTGGTGGTGAAGTCATTTTCTTTTATGTGTATGGGTGTTTTCCATATGCATGTCTCTATGCAGCACATGCCTGTTGGTACCCACACAGGCCAGAAGAGGACAACAGATCCCCTAGGAGTATGTACATGTGGGTGCTGGGAATCAAACCTGGGTCCTTTGGAGAAACTAGGACTCTTAACAACTGAGCCATCTCTCCAGCCTGTAAATTTTCTGATATGTTTGAATTATAGCATCACTACTTAGGAGCACTAAAATCTTTATCATTTATTGCTTTATCTCATTTCTACATTTAAAGCTAAACTTGTAGAAAGAATTTTCTCTGGGACAAAGAGATGGGTCAGTGGATAAAGGCCCTCACACCAAACCTAGCAACCTGAGTACCATCCCCAGAGCCCACACTATGAAGACTCATGCCAAGTGCACACTCTTGCTTCTACATGTGCACCATAGTACATGCCTCCCAAAATAAACAAATGAATATAATATTTTAAAATAAAATATATTTAAAATATTTAAAAAAGAAAGTTCATCTGAGATATCAGATGAGCACCCATATACACCTCGACTTGATGGCTTAGAGCAGCAACTTTAGTGTATGTTTGTAATTCTTGGAATAGAGAATTGGGCAGGGGAACTGAGTGACTCTTTTGCATCCAATGCATTATTGGATTTCACTTAGGAGAAAGTTTAACTGAGGCTGGAATGTCTAAGATGGCTACAGAACCTTCTTAACGAAGAGTAGCAGAGGGGGCCTTCAAAAATGAGAGGAAGAGCCTGCGATGGTGTGCGGCTGCACTAGGAGAGTGCAGAGACACTCCTGCCACATTCTGCTGCTCACCAGGCCAGTCCTGAATCAAGTCAAAAGAATTAAACTCTATTCCCCAATGAGAAGGGCAGAGATTGTATGATCAAGGTAAATCCATTCCAGACATCTATGGGGAGTGAATGAAGCTTTGGATGAGTGTATATTGTTGACATGAGCACCACCATGCCACAGACCCCAATGCCTCAGACCCATGGGACTGGCAAGGGCTTCCCCTGGTCCCAATGCAGATGTTAGCAGTGTGCACAGATAGCAGCAACAACTGCTTTCTCCTCCCAGTTGACTGC